CTGAATAGAGATATGACTTCCAGCTACAAACTCCGAATACGACCGAAGACTTCCATACAATATCCAATGATCCCCTCTTCAATTTAGAGGTACTACTGGGCACTTTCTGCATTTGAATAAAAAAAAAGGAGGGGAGGTTTGTAAATAACGTCGATCAGAGTTTCCCTGAGGATCAGACTAGGCATCTGTACGCCAAGTACAGGAGGCACTGAACTTCTACAGGTGGTTTCTGAAGAGTTTTTCTGCATATGCCGGTTGGGCGAGCTTTTATGAGAGACGCGTGCCGGGTCAAAGGTGTCTGGAGAAACTGCACTATGACGTGATCTAAAGTAATTGTTGCTGTTATTAGCTGGGAAACACCTGCAAGGTGGATGTCATTGAATACAAACCCCCTTGAGACTGATCAAGCTGAAGTGAGATCGGGCTCCGAAAGACTTAGGCCCAGTAAATCGCTGGTACTTTTCAAATTCGGAACGAAATGCAACATCCCTTAAAGCTCAATTAGGAACGGATCATAAGTCTTCTGGGTTAATAAATATGTATAACTGCTTGTAAAAAATCAGACGAACATGAGGAATTGTTATCGACATCAGCCACGTAACACCCTCATTTAAGATCAGGGGGAAAAGTGGTAAATACTTCTATTTCACCAGTTGTAAAATCCCTGATAGTTGGCTATGCAAATTTCGCATGCGTATTTTGCCCCGTGCTACTATACTGTTAGAACCGCTTAAACGCTGAGAAATTTGGTGTTACTCAAATGTTTATCTCTATGGGGGTGCTTAATGACTAACCTGTATTTAGAAGCTCGAAGAGACTATGGTCTAAGATCCCGCGATCACTAACGGGGATCAAATGTCAACCCATCTACCGCTTTTGCAGCATATTGTCTGCTGATTTACCTACCTAGACACAAGCCAGAGCAATTTATTACCTTGCAGTCAATGGTGGGGCCACTCTCCGGTTCGCCATGTATAAAGGTGGCGGACCACACTATGGCTATTCGGTGGCTCCTCTCAAGCAGTGGAATTTGAATCATCGGAAAATCTAAAACACTTTAACATAAAAGCAGGGTCAATTGATCAGATACCCAACTTAATAAAATGTGCTGAGTTAGAATACATTCGAGGTTAGCTTCCATGTCAGTTTTTCTTTTGGTATTAGGCCGGTACTCCAATTTTCTTCTCCAGGTCATGCAGTGCGCGCCAAACCGCCTTTACATGTGCATCGACTTTCCCCCAAGCGGTTACAAATTAAGCATGATTCCATTGGAGCATCTCTGCACGACTTATGCCAACCTTACGGTAATTCAACTTCGATATGCTTGTTGCCGGAGACCGTGTTATATCTGTAATTATAGATATGATAACGTGAGAGACTCAGGAATACTTTTATAATTATCGCAGGGCCAAGGCAAATTATGCGCATATATTCCTCTAACCATATTCTCGGCGCTCCTCGCATCTCCAATTCGGTAGACACTCAGAATCAACAATTTACAGAAAAAATGTATGACCAGCTTGAAGGGAAATTCTAAATCTCAACGTACCCCCCTCATCTGCGATTACGATCCCATGGTATTTTTTATAGCCTTGTATTTACATCTTAATTTGTTGGTTGACTCACTTTAAGCCATAGATTCATGAACCCCTCTCGGCTCAGTAAACACGGCGTTTTTCTTGAGGCGTGGCACTTACGCTTTGGAGTCCACATTATACTGTTTCAAACGTTCCACAAACCCTGTTTCTATAATCATTATGACGCTTTTTTCCCATCACCCAAGTGGCTTCAAGCAAGGCAAACTTACCAGGGTCTGGCCTGGCGTGGTGGTGGTGGTGGTGGTGGGGTGAAGTTGATTGAAGCTTTGGCATCGTCTGAGACTAACCCGGTAACATGTAATGTTAATGTCTGATCTACACATGACCGGATCGGACCATCGATTGCTCATCGGATTTTAACGAATTGGGAATCGGCGCCCGAGCACCAACTTTGTAGGTGCCAGCATGTTGCAGCTGGGGTAGAGAGACGGGCCCCCGGGACATGTTGGAGTGATTGTGCAGTTTACCTTCGGGATAACAGGGGATGCTGCTATCTGTTCCAGAAAGAACTAGAAGGTCAAAGCAAAGCCAGAGCTTGAAGCACAACGGATGCTCTTGATAAAGTACGCATTTTGCTAAACTTGAACTTCTTTATCGGCATGACAGAATAACATCACAGTAGAAAACTTTTGGATAATTGGCTGATTTTGTCGATTTTGTGGGTGGTACCCTAGTCGTCAGGAATCAAAGGGCGATCTGTTTACCGGCAGATCTGCAACAAATTTCTCCAGCCGATCGGATACGACAGTTTGGTATTTGATGCTACCGGCCGCTTGGGTCGCCATCTCCTAGCATCCGCATCGACCCGGCGAATTGCCCTTAAAGCGCTCAATCGCCGGCGCTGCCACCAGCGTAGAGTATGTTCCTTTCAACAGAAGACAAAATAAGAGAATAACAGTTCCAACAGAAGTTGGTTTATGTTGACTTCGCTTTTCGGGACTTTCCCCTATTTTCGACAGGTTCTCTGGCTTGCAGGAAAAGAAACACGTACATATCCCAGCACTCAATGTCATCTCTTATGTGGGGCGACTGAGACACGGGCCTGAATACTTCTTGTGTCTAGTTTTGTATCGATCATTGGTTGTTTGTAACGTGTTTATAGGATGGCAACTATTTTGGAAGCGAGGATGTCTATTTGGAGCTGCCCTCCTACCCCAATGACGGGTGGTTGAGCTGTAGCGCCCAAACCGTCGGAAATCGTTCCCCAAGAACACAATCCCGAACCGTCTAGCCGGGTAGGCGTATCAAAATTGTTCCAGTCGTCCCCCCTTAACAATCAATTGTTGCGCCACACCCCTGGTTGTATGGAGTTGTTTAGCCTTGTACCTACAATCACGCATTACTCATAACCACCAGGCCCCACCAGCTAAAGGTGTGCCCCCACTCAGGAGAGCTTCTATGAGAGAAGAGAGCCAGCTCGGGACGGCCCGCATTGTGGGGGCTCCCAGATAAAATTAAAGGGATAGGGCTGCCTATTCGTAATTCAAGTAGGTAGTCCACCGGGAAAATCCGTGGAAATTATCAGCTCGGTGCTTTTTGTGGACATTCGGGCACACCCTAAATCTGCTTAAAGGAATACGAAAGCATCGCTGTGGATATAACTTCTAGGTAGTATGCTGATTTGGCCATAAGAAAACGGTTGAAGCTCTTTGGGGTCCACATATTTCGGCCTCAGCACATGTATTAAGGAACAGGCCATTGAATTCTGCATGATTGCATCGCCTTAAATTATCTTCAAGGACCTAGTACACCGGCGACCAATATACTCGTGGCAGGCAAAAGGAACACGAACATAAAAACGCGCTAGCAGGGGTCAAAGTGGTTGCTACCAGAAAAACGATGTTCAGGTTCTTCATGCCTTCCCCGAGTAGCTAGTCGCACAAAATACAACTTACTTCATTGATGCGCGGCAAGTTCTTGGCTTCTAGCTCTAAACCTCGATGTATTAGCGGAGGTGGTGGTAGGTGGTGGTTGCCACTTATCCTGGCTTCCCTCAACCACTCTGTCGGGAATTATGATCCATGAACTCATGAAGTATCACTCGCAAGATATAGTACGACCAGGTCACTGGGGGCAATGGTCCGAGCGATAGAGTACCTGTGTCAATTCCGGATCTCCCATTGGTCACGAAATGATTCCTAAACCGACTATGTATCACAACTCTGAGGTTATATTTTTACTTCCCTTGCATCGTGAGACTGATACACCAACAATAACCGATCCTTATATATGTACTCTACGTATATGGCCTAAATAATGAAGTGTTGGCAGATTTCACAGTTAATGGCTCACTTAAAAAAGGGCTCGTGTCGGCACTGCCCTTTATATATCTCGTCGAAGATCTATGGGAAAGAAGTATAAGAACACGTGCTGCTAAAACTTGGATGGAATAGATTTACTCGCAAGCTTCCCTTTCTTTGAATCAAACTGCGCTAGATATCCAGTGAGTGGCTTTATCTGTACACCCCGTTGTTTCCAGTATGTGTACTTGACATCAAGAAACTAATGTAATAGGCTAGAACTAGGTAATATCAATCTCATGGCAATCCTGCTGATATTTTGTGCTTGTCCGTTACTAAAGACCCTGAAGCTCAGGGTCGGATATTCGGTTACCTGCATTACAATCTTGGGATATCCGAGAAGCTCCCTTATAAAACTATTTGATTGGCGCGGGTAAACCTGCCCTTTAGGGACTAGCCTTGGCTCCACAGAGCTATATACTACGAGCGTCTAGTACTTATTAGTAGGGAATTCAAATCGAGCAAGTCCAGTTTCGAATCCCGGATCGGTATATCATAGCCTTTTTCTCCAGGGTATGCGCAGTCTATACATCCATGGACTGCCATGGGATGGTGTTGTGATATTGGTCATTGACGATAGGCCAACAAGGGTGATGGTCCTGAGATAAATCCCTAGAGAATATTCCTCTCTGCAATATCGGAGTTAACTGAATACAAGTATCAGGGTTTTCCGCAAATGACAGCCGGGGCATCGGATTCGACTTTAGTGTAGTTATTCAATCGAGTAGATTGATTGGGGGAGGTAAGTGATTAAGTCCTATTCTCTATTTAGCATAACAGGACTGTACATGCATGTATTGGGCATGCATGTATTGGGTTAGAATCACATATTAAAATTAAACCGCGCGATTACCGCATCATCAGATCTCACTCAGCTCTAGTTAGTTATGTGGGGTTGGGGCACCTTAGGAAGTAGGAGTTGATGAAAATTACAGGACCTTGTGTACGTCACGGAAAGCTTGAGCACACTGGAGAGTTATTTACCCGAGTTTCTGACCTTGTCGGAAGCACAAACTAGCCTTGAGAAGGTCAGATGTTCTTTACTATTCGACTTAAGTATTAAAATATTGCTCAAGGGTTCTCTTATTTTTATCGGCACCATGCGCTAATAGCTCAGTTGGGAGAGCGTCAGACTGAAGTTAACATTATGTCAAATAATCTGAAGGTCACCCGTTCGATCCGGGTTTGGCGCATATACTCAAAAACTTTTTACCGCTTGTTCCCGCACCATGCACCTACAAAGGTCTAGGCTAGAGTACCGTAGTAGATAGAGAACATGCCGCTCAGGAGGTATCAAAGGTTACACGGTTGCAAGGTGGGATCGCCGACAAAATTATTCCCGCGGGTGGCTGAAATTTGAGCATATGCCCATGAACACGCTTTTGGAAGCGGAGATTGTGGTGCTCCTGAATCTCATTGTTATCAATTTTTAAGGGCGATACATCTGGGCGGCTGATTTTACTTGTAAGCTGAGTGCGCGCCGATAATATTAATATCGAGTGATCATACATGATCGATATACCCGATCAAGTGCCAATTTGTGTCAAGAAGAAAGGATTAATATTCGCATGATATTCATTATTCCACGTATGCACAAAAGTCTAGGCGTTCAATCGCGATTGCATTAGATGTTATAGCGCGGAATGCTTTGTATAGTACCTGCCTGTATTTATCCTGCACTGTTCCTATCAGACAGATGCCAATTCATACATATCCCCCATGCGTAAGTCTCACTACAAATCCGTCCCTTAAATCGCACAGGCTTCAACATTCGGACGTTGCCTGGATTGGTTGACTCTTGTGAGCTCACCAAGTACATAGATAGTCTCCTCAACTCTTGCGAATCCCTCCCACGAGATTCCCTCATCAATATCGGCTGCGATAATCGCTCGGTTATATGTGGCTCTACTCTCTACATCCGGAATCTATGCCAAGGCATTGCCTTTCTGCAACTAGTAGATGTCGGAGATTGACAGCCCCCTTGCTACATCCTTTTCTCCGTGCAAAAAAAAGGTAAAACATCGGGGAGAGTGGGGGGCGAAGGTCTCGTGGTGCTTCTTCTAATCAGGCGTGGCCTAGGCTAGGCCTCGCGGGCCAAGGTCTGGGTTCTAAGGGTGGGCCCGAGTGATAGTCGTGATTAAAGGGTGGAGAATAGCCATTTTTAGATGCAGGTTTTTGGCAATGATCGAAGTGATGGATACGGTGAATACGGGCGGGTTTGTGCTTGAACTCAGTACCAAAAAAAAACGGGTGGATCCAGTACCGCACCTAGCAGAATACCGCAAAACTACCGTGTTGCTACGGTATTGCTACGGTATAATATTTAGGGTTCTGATTTAATTCGGAAGTTTTACGTAATTCCGTACGTATTACATCCCCTTTTTTGGTACTGTAATATGTCAAGAACATAATAGCATGAGCTGCAGGAATATTGCGCCTCGGGTGACTCAGGGAACTTTGGTGCTATACGAGATTCAGCCTTATGACGACAGTCTGTGATTATTTCACTCCTGGGGTAAAGAGTTACATACTTACCGATGGCTATAATCTTTTGTTAACATAAAGCGATTAATATTATTAGCTATTAGGATTGACCCTTCTGTCGTGATTGCGTTAACAATCGATTAGCTCAGGTTTTCTGCATTAAAAACAGATATTCAGTAACAATGCCACTTATTTGCGAGAGAGATGACGCGATAATTTCTATAACCTTTTTTAATGTCCATTGATGAGAGTGTACTACAATGCACGGTTCATAGTGGGATTATTAGGTGGCTGAAAAGAAAGCGGTAGGGGGATATTCGAATATTCTCACCGTATCTGTAGGGAGATAATCTTTTATCGAACAAGTATCAGTCCACAAAAAGGCAACTACATCTATGACAGGAGATTGCTTTTTATATCCAAAAAGATTAGAATTTGGCGTGTTCAGTGATGGAACGGTGAAAGGAAAACCAAGTATCCCGTCGCTCAGTCAGCAGCCTAACTGCAGTGATCAGGCGGGAATCTCGTGTACCAAACTCACTCATTCTTCTCTTTTTATAATTTACTTCTTCTCGCAAGAAAACCTGCTTAGTTGAAGACCTGTCCCGGTTGTCTTGATCGAAGTAGCTGTTGGTGAAGTCCTTCATTCCAACTTGAGAATTTATAAAAAGTTACTTGAATTTTATCCAGAGGGAGGTACAAAAATTAATTGGGGGTGCTGTAGTTGAGAGTCGCACTGGTCGGGAGTCCTTCGTTAAATCATCCGACCGGGATGCATAAATATTGTCACTGTGCTTAAACTAATTGTGTTCGTTCATAGAATCGTGAAAGTTGGGCATCCCGTCCGCTCTGCCATACACAAACACGATATCGCTCAGTCAGTACTGCAGTGGGTGACCATGTGGGAATCCTGGGTAACGAACTCGCCTTTTGTATGCCTTTTCTTTTGTAAGGCCCGATGTACTAGCCCCATCGAAACATCATATGTCCAGCTGGCCAACCCACTCTAGCCCAAGGCAGATCCAGTTGGACCTAGTCCATCCAGACATGCCCAGGGCGAGGTGTTGGCATAGTCTGCTGAGTGTACAGTGATGGGGATAAAGGAGTGGGTTTCTTGGTCCGTGCTCACAACAAAAGTCTTTTCAAGAGCCAATGGGACTATATATCGGGTCACGGAAAACCCACTTTTGCAATAAATCTCTCCGTCATTGTAAGAACCGAGCAGGATCAAGTCATATATGTTACGTATGTGTGGCCCGGCCCAGCCCAATATAGATTTATATGTCCGACCCGGAAAGGAGAATTCTGGACTTGAGTCCGTTCGAGGCCCTGGATACTTGCTTGCCATTCATCACAAGAGTAAGGTAGGAGACTGAACAACATATACGGAGGCTGCCGGGCACTCCCCGAATAATTCTGTAAATTGGTTCCCTTTTGAGATTATATAGCGGTAGGACTATGATAACGAACGATCACTGTACTAGTGCATACTTGTATTTGTTTAATCAGCGTTGGATTCAGACGTTGTGGCCGGCTCGGGTCGTTGTCGAGCGTTGTGGCCGGCTCGGGTCGTTGTCGGGCGCTGTGGCCGGCTCGGGTCGTTGTCGGGCGTTGACTTATATGGTCGATACTAAAACGTACTTGGGATCGCTGTCTGATTTGAATTTTCAGAGCGGGAATTAGGTTGTAGATGGACGCGTAACTTGTTTGCCGAAGATCTGGCCTAGTCTCATATCCATCCCCTACTTTTGGCAGTAATCTACAACGAGTGGAAGCGGGGGGGCGGTTGGGGACATGCCTATAGTAGCTACATGTAGGTCTGACCTATCAATCACTACTACAGAATAGCGGGAAAGAATATCGAAACGGTCTGAGCTGCGGGTATATACAAGAGTTCCATCATGTTACTGTCTGCACTAGCTATATACAGTGAAGTCTCGATAGTAGCATATGGTCGGGAACGGATTTTCGTGTGCCACTCGAGAATATGCTTGCATCGCGAATAACTACGTCCGTACCGACTCGTTTGGGTTTGCCCAAATCTATGCTAGAATAGAGGATATGCTATTATCGAGAATGCTACTATTGAGACTCCACTGTAGACACAGACGCAAGGGGCAAGGGAGCTCCTAGTATTCTGGCTCCTGTCCTGGTATTTCCCCGGGTTCCTATTCCGACCATATCTAGGACTCTTTCTCTGATATCTCTTTTGGCGTTAATTATCTGTGTGATTTAGGAAGGAACAGACATTAGGGCAGACAGGCGGGTAGATAGGCAGGTATATTCTGACTTCTCTTCTGACACCTGCTAGGACTATCGTAGTGTTTATTATTTGAGTAGAACTGTGTAGAAAACGATGGATTTACTTTAGATATACGTATTCATTGCATGATCTATTTTCTGAAGGAATTCTTGCATTTATATGGCCGCACCGAAATTAAATTTATAACACCCTTAGCAAAAACACATTTTAGGATAAGCCCATTCGTATCCGTGAATTTCGCATAAGTGTGAGATAGGTGCGATATAAACATGAGTTCGGGGCGGTGATGGGATGGGGCTGGAGAAGTATTTGTGTTTCCGAGGGGTCCTTGTAAAAGTCCTGTTGGGGGGTTTGGTGTGGTTGGAGTCTTGGGTGATTGATCATCATTGACAGGAGCGGGAAGAGAGTTGTAATCCTCATCCTCAAGGGGGCTCACCCTAGCGGGGGGCTTATTCTGGCGGGTGTGTTGCTGTATCTCAAGTATTTATCTTGGAATTGTGAAGTGTTTTTCGCAAGCATCATGGAATAGCACTCGGAATCTTGTTCACCATATAGCACTCGTCTCGTTGCTAAAAGAAAATACATAAATCCGCTCTAGTGGAAGAAACTGCCGTGTTCGTTCATAGAATGTTGAGAACTGGGCATCCCGTCCGCTCTGCCATACATAACCAACATATCGCCTAGTCAGTACTGCGGTGGGTGACCACGTGGGAATCCTGGGTAACGAACTCCATCATTTACCTTTTTTTTCTTGTATGTATCATTTGGTGTGTTTTTCACGATTCTCTGAACTCCTTACCTAAACTCTATAGGGATCAGGTGTGTTTTGACACCTAAATAAATACACGCGCGCCTCAGCCCGTCCAGGAGCAACCTTTGCGTGCTGGTGGAAAGCAAAAAAAAGTTAAAATATATTGAATTTGTTGAACAATCACCCTTAGCCTTCCTTACCTGCTTTCGATTGCCCCATCCTACTTGTAACTATGTACAGCGGCAGGTGATAAGTGATGGAACACCCTGAGACAGAGTGATACCTGTTTTGAGTAAAACGCCACCAACATACGGTGTTTGCAGGTATAACCGCATCTTAGGGCGTTCCATCACTTATTACCTATCGCTGTACAGCCACTCATCAAAAGTGTTTGTGATTCACATTAAAGTTGGCCAGTGCGTGATGTGGCTTACCAGATTTTACGGTAAAATTGAGGAACACTAAAATGTATCAATGTAATTGTACCCAGTGAGTGAGTAATAGAGAATAAAAATCCCATGAATAATGTCTGTCTAACGTTGACTTTGGCCACCGTTGACTAGCTGTTGCTGTGGTGAGGTTTTTTGAACATTTCAATGGGCACTTTGACTTGAGCTGGACATGCCACATTGAATAGAGCGTATTTGCCAACCGTCAATTTCAACTATTGACACTTCAAAATTGACAGTTCCCTT